AGGATAGAGACTAGGTACTTTAGAGAAGTCGGACGATAGTTAAGATCTCCATAACAAGTGTCAGGAATAGATGTACGCCGTACATCTATTACGCTGTTTCAAGTTCGAAAAGCTGCGCTGGAACATTAAAAAAGGCAAGAAATCAGTCACCTTTCCCGGCACTAAACGGGCTAACTGTTAAGGGACCGCAACCATAAGCATTTAACATCGATAAGGAAAGTTATTAGACATAAGCGATCTGTACTTAGATTAAAAACCTCTGAGCTGCGGTGTTCACCTGGGGGGGGAAGGGGGGATACAGAGGTATCCTATAAAGGGCTCCTATAATAGAACATCTCCCTTCTGCTCTCCGCAATAGCAATCAATCAACTTTTTCCTTTCTTTGACGCCTCTTTCAAAATTCAAACCGACCTTTCGGCAGGCATTCTGTTTTCTTAAGAAGGCTCCCTTACATCCCTTCTTCAGGTGTCAGGCAGACTCTATCCAACCACCTTGGTGGGTTTGGTGGGCGGCAATGGTATGGAGGCCCCTTCGTGTATAGCTAGCGTAGTACCCAACGTAAAGCTTGGTAGGTCCCTAAGTGTGTAAAGCCAACGTATGCACACCAACTGCAAAGCCATGCAAACTGCAAAGCCCCTATACGTTTGCCAGTCAGAGGGGCCCCTCCGTGTGTCAGCCAGCGCGGCGGAGGCACCCAACCCTCGGCCCTCGGCCCGCGCTGCCCCTTTGTCCGTTGGCCATGCATAATAATCACCCTGAGGCGTCCGGCGGCGCCCGCACGCAGTCCCCGCTGCAACGTCCCTCCGTCTGGGGCCTGTGCAACTGCAGCGGGCCGGGGTCACCCAAGGTGAAAGTGCCAGGTGCCCCCGGGTCGGCAGCGGGCCTACCTTTTCCGTGAGTGGCTACTGCAGCGAGCAGCAGCAGCAGCAGCGGCGCTGGCGACACCATGGTGGCAGAGCGGGCGGCGGCGGACGGGACGGTGACACTGCTCACTGTCTGAGTCGCTCGCTCGGCTACTGGGCGGCTCCCATGCCCTCGCGCGCGCTGCACCGAGCCGACTGACCGGCCACCCGGCCACAGCAGAAGACTGTCCAGCGCGCATGCGCCGGCCGCCGTCGCCGCCGCCGCCGCGGTGTCGCCGTCTCAGCCGAGATTTGAGTGGGCGGCAATGGTACCGGCTGAGAACCGCACCGGCTCGGCTCGGCACAACAGATGGTGGGTGGGAGGGACGGCGGTGATCGCGGTGTAGTCGAACCCCGCCGGTCGGCGCACACCACCGCAGCGAGCCGGCCGACGCACAGAGACCCGTTACCCCGTCCGTGGCCGTCGAAACCGACACTGCCGGTCAGCGGCGGTATAACGATACCCCACCCAACCGCGGTCCAAGCACCAGCGGGCGTCACCACCGGCACCAGCACCACCCGGTCAGCGGAGGCAACCACTCCCAACCGACCACCCGCCGCCGTCTGAGCACCAGCGGGCGTCACCACCGCCGACACCAATCGGTCACGGTGGTGTCGGCCGTCGGTGGTGTCGTGGGCGGCGCTGACCCGACCCTGACACTGTTAGAGACACACTCGAACGAGCGGGCACGCCACGCCCAATGTCATCACAGGGGTCAATGGGTGACTGTCCCACAGGTCACGGTCGAGACTGGGGGTATTACTAGACCAAAAGCTGGTTTACCAGAGACGTGAAATGTCATTGGCATGATATTGCAGAATCTCTAATGCCTATAGCGCCAGTCCAAGTTGGCTAGTTGGGTTCTGAAGTGCGTATGGATAGCCGATTCGCCTTTAGATGAGTGTCGTAATGAGTGGTAGCTTATAAACCCTTATTTGGGTTTGCTGCGCTTTCAAGCTCCAGCTGAATTTGTCCGTGCGTTTGTTAGTTACTATGTCTGTCTGCAGTATGTCAATCTGTCAGTCTGATGTGAGACTGCGTCCCACTCTGAGTCTAATGAGTCCGACTGTGTGTATTCAGACATCCGGTTCTCCGTAAATTTATATGAATGAACGCCCGGCTCAGTCTGGGACGCGGTCGGTCCGATGCGCGCTCCCACCGCGCGTCTATCACAGCGGGAGCGGTTCCCGCTAACACAAATATTGCCGGAGCGGCGGCTCGACCACTATCGGGGGCGGTAACGGGCCGTCCCGTCACCGTCACGGCCGCTGGGAGCGCACGGCGGCTCGCTCGCGCCGCCGAGGTGTGGACTATGGTCAGAGCGCGACGTCACGCACCAGGGAGCTCGGCTACGGCATTATGTATGACGGAGACGGACAGCGGAAGGACCGATTACCCGGAGTCCTGTCGGCTGGGTTACTGGGACACAGACACGGGAACGGAATCAGGATAATTATGTTAGAACCGATAGCTCCCATAGCTCCCGTTGACAAATACGCATGGTTTTGTTGATGTGGATCAAATGTGTTCTAGATTACATAATATCTTGTCGTCGGCAAAGGATATGTTATGAAAAATCTGTTTCAGCTCTATGCATAACATGCTGATTTAATCTGAACATCAATAAGATAGGTGCTTTGATGCTAAATCATTTGATTTTGGTCTGGCGCTGACTGTTGGAACTTGGAAGGATTCATTACCTGTAGCTACCTCAACTATAACAGCTACCTGTAACTACCTACTATAACGGGAATACAAGCCGAATTGGCCAATTTTGTCATGGACAAGGTTCACTGAAGACGTTGGGACAGCTATCCTGCACTAGTCTGAAAAAAAAATATTCGTGGAAAGACCGGGAAACGTGCAGATTCAGCAGCAGGCAGGGCGCAGTTCCCTCAACAATCAAGACGGCCTCGTCGGCAGCCCGAGATCTCCGTGAGTTAGCCGTCTTCACACAGAAAACCAAGAACAAGATATTCGGCCAGCCGCAATAGAACACAGTTTGCGGATGGAAACGTACTTTAGCTGATCAGCATGCATCCAGGCAAAAAAAAATAGTTAGCGTGGCAAAAACACGCGACTCTCACTTCATGTAAAATGTGCATTGAACTTAATCAGCCTGGGCAGCGGACCAGACCACCGATAATAAAAAACTTAGCCTGTGCTGTGCCAGTGCCAGTGCCAGTGCTCACCCGTTCTTTGTTCCAATATGTCTAGACGAGTTTCATAGTATTTGCCGCTCTTAACGATACTTACCGATGGGCACTACGGGCCGGAAATTCGCACAACTGGCACATTGTCGAGATTGCACACGTCGAGAATTTGTGTTTCCGTCTTACCTTGTCATGCATCGCGCTGCAAACATGGCGTTTCCGATCAGTAGCTGACTCTTGAATGCAAGCATCTGCTTGCTGTTTCAAGTTCCCTGCTTAATGTTTATCCTAGGCATAATAATCGGAATGCACTTAGTGCTCAGCGTTGCAGTCGCCAATCCACTGATATATGCCACTGCGACGTTGAAGTTTCTATGCGTCACGGATACTTTAGCAGTGTTACAGGCCAACTCCGCGTTGAAATCTTTGTGTGTTGCGGCACAGCCTGTCTGTCGAAGGCCGAAGCCAGTACAGCGTTGAAGTCTCTCTATATTGCGGTGCAGTATGTCTGTATAGAGACCATTGTTTCATTGCAGTCTTTTTGTGTTGCGATACAGTATCGAGATACATGCTAATGTAGCGTCGCAGCTTCCATGTGTTGCGGGACAGCAAAGGTGCCAACTTGGTTACTGTCGGTTGCAAAGTTGCAGTCTCCTTGGCTAAATCCGTTTCGAAACATGACAGCTACCTTCGTTCTAGTGGTAAGTGGTTTGAAACTATTTATTACGCTAATTGCTGAACTTGTTAGACATGATAGAATATATCGTAGAGTTTTTGACAAATAGGTGTAATGTCTGACTTACACAATTGATTGTCGGGATAGATAATTATTTTCGTCTGTCGTCTTCGAACCAAGCAGAGAGCAAGACACCTGATAGAGCAAAGATGGATTTCGCAGGCATGTGCAAACACATTAGGCAATCCCGGTGACCCGCAGGACAGACAAAGAGCTCCTTGACTAGGTGCAGCAGCTGTCACGGATGGGACGTCACAGACGAGGCAGAGTGTGGGAGACAGGTGAGGGAGAGCGTGGGAGGGGAGGTCAGAGAGGCGGACGACCCGCCAGATTCCCCGCATCCGATACCATCTCTGGGCCGAGACGGACAAAGGACGGCACACAGTGGCAAGTCACCGGCGCCGAGACAGGCGGGTGACATCATTGGATGACGTCATACCGACGATAGAGCCGCGGCAGAGTGGTGCAAACTGCAGAGGTTGGGTCACGTCAGGTTCCGTCTGACTGTGGGTGACGTTACAATACGGAGCAATGTCACAAAGATGGGGTCACGTCAGGTTCCGTCTGACTGTGGGTGACGTTACAATACGGAGCAGCGTCACAAAGGCCGGGTCACGTCAGGTTGCGTCACAGGGCGGGTCCGCGTCCGGCGAGGTCATTTTAGTGACGTCACTGGGGTGGTACACCGACCGGCTCGGCTGGAATGGCCGCCGGACTGGCCAGCGTTATTGGTCCCGGGAAGTCTGAGGCCTCGCTGATACGGAGGAGGTGATCAGAAGTTTGTAAGAGGCTGCAGGCACCGATTATTGGCAGATAGAAGAATGTGGGTGTAGATAAGATGTTGCAGGAGGTATGAGGGATAAGATGTATGCACATATCGCATATAAGTATTGAAGCATAATAATGGAACTTCATAGTTCATGCCCATTGACGAAAAAACGCCTCAGCACAAAAAAGAACGGCATATCACCCTAGCAGCGACCAACTTTTTTCGCATTCCGGAGTGCTCAACCCCTACAGAGCTGTGTCCGAAGTATAGCATCCCAGCGCTGGGTGCCGCTGGAGGGAGTGGCCGTCCATCGGGACCGGGCATCTCGCCGGAGCCGGCCCGTTCACCTTGGACCTCTGCTCTGTGCCCGGCTCGGCACGGCGCAGCGGCACGACCGGCGCCGTAGCGCCTCCTGGCGGCACAGCGCCGGCCGCGGGCGGGGCCACTTTCACCCGGCACAGCCGCCGAGATCGACAGAGACCGCCGAGAGCACGGCAGCGACACCGCGACACACCGATACCGCTGAATGTGCGTGTGCGTGTGAGGGGACCTGAACACAGCTGGACTGGACACAGGTGAGACAGTGACAGCTCTTGTTGGTGTCCGTGGGGGAAAGCATGGGGACTTCGGATATATGATGGGGAGAGGGGAAATCTCAGCTGACCTTGATTTCTCTCTGCCTGAAAGCGTCAGTGACCTTGCTACAATTTGGTGCGGAGATGGGCACTTCTGGTCCATTGTTATCAACTAGCATATGGTGTTAGGATAACTTAGGATGGATCTTTTTTAAGCCTAGTGTTAAGAACAGACGTCATACCGTCCGTTTAGTGAAAACAATGCATGCTTTCATCCGGCGGAAGTGAAATTTTATAGTTAAATGTGTCACAGAAAGTCAAGCGGCTTTAATATGCTTTCTGCTGGCATACCTAATTTAAATCCTTTAAAACTTAACTTTTACTATTGTGTGCGCATCGCACATCGCAAACTACGACTGCAAATGTTGCAGTAACTGTATCAGCTACTTGCCAGTAGCTATGCCTTTTTACTCTTAGAGGGAAGATAAGATAATGGGTTCAGTCTTTCCTCCTCTTACCGTTCTAGCCATGGCGTAGAAGGTGTCATTGTTGGTTAAAACTCTATGACGAACTTTCCCGTCCTGTTTTCTCCCTTCCTCTCAGTCCTCAAGCAACGCTCATCCAGCCAGTTAGGTATGTCGTACCTTCTGCTGAACCCCTTCCCTTATCCTCAGCATTCACCATAGTGTGCCGCTGCCTGGTCATGTCATGCTCTCCGTTGACTCCCTTCCCGCCTGTCCCCAGCTGTTACGATGCTGTACCGCTGCCTGGCCGCGCTATGCCCTCCCTTGACTCCCTCCCCCGCCCGTCCTCAGCCGTCGCCATGCTGTACCGCTGCCTGGCCGCGCTGCTGCTGGCGGCGCTGGCCGCGGTGCCGGCCGCCGCCAAGTGGGAGCCGCCGCCGCCCCGCTTCACGTGTCCGCAGCGCGCCATCCTGCACTACCCGTGCGTGTGTACGGCCGGCGGCGACCTGGGCATCCACCTGCGCTGCGACAACTCCAACCTGGCGCAGCTGTCGGCCGCGCTGCGCAACGTGCGCGTGCCGCTCGACTCGCTGACGCTCTCCCGCTGCAGCATCAGCCGGCTGCACGGCAGCCTCTTCCACTCGGTGTCGGCGCGATCGCTGCACATCGAGCACACGCCGATACGGAACATCGGCGCCGACACATTCCTGGGCATCAACAACACGCTGCTCAACCTGACCATGTGGGACACGCGGCTGACAGAGGTGCCCGTGGAGGCGCTCTCCGTGCTGACCAACACGTCTGTGCTGGAGATCGTCGGGTCAGACATCACCTACATCCCCGAGGACGCCTTCAAGGACATGGTCAAGCTGACCGACCTGACGCTGAGAAAGTCACAGATCAGCTCCTTCCACCAGAAGGCCTTCGCTGGACTGAGGAGACTGAAGAAAATATCGCTGGCGTATAACAATCTAACGTCGGTGCCGCCAAACGCGTTCAAATTCAATTTGCGACTCAACAATCTGGACCTTGCCTACAACAATTTCAACAAGCTCAACTCGAAATTCTTCAGGGACATCCGTCAAATGATTTGGTGCAACATGTCAAATAACGCCATCACCGATATGGGAAGGGCGACCTTCTCAAGGAACGGAGCCCTGGGTTATCTGGACATGAGTCACAACAAAATCCCGAAGATCGACTCTAATGAGTTCAGAACAATGCGCTCCATGCGTCGGCTGTTCTTCAACGACAATAACATCAAACGCATCGGCAGAGGTGCATTCAAAGTGCTGAACAAAGTCGGAACCATAGACATCGCGCGCAACCATATCAAGAAGATCGATTATCAAATGTTCTGGGAGCTAGAGTACCTCGAGATTCTCAATGCTCAAGAGAATGAAATCACTGAGATTGAGAAGAACACATTCAAGGATTTGTACCTCACCACGGTGAACATTAGCCACAACCAGCTGTCTCAGATTGCCGACGACGCCTTTATCAACTGCAACAACATGACGTTCCTCGACCTGAGTCACAACAACCTCACCGAACTCAACGAGAAGGCCTTCGACGACAACTCCGACCTCACCGAGCTGCGCCTCGAGTTCAACTACCTCACCAACATGTCCGCCCCGTTCGACAAGTTCAAACTCATTCGGGTCCTCAACATGTCCTACAACAGCATCGTGGAGATCCCGAAGCGGACGTTCCCCGATTTGTACGAGCTGCACACGATCGACGTGAGCCACAACCAGATCGCCAAGATCGGCGGCGGCGTGTTTACGACGCTCTTCTCGCTGCGCCACCTCGACCTCAGTCACAACATGCTGGAGGAGCTGCGGGCCTCCTCGATCGGCACTATGCCCTCACTACTGGACGTCAACCTCAGCCACAACCGGCTGCGCACCACCACCCGCAGCGCGTTCCAGGGCCTCAGCTCGCTCCGGGAGCTCCGGCTCGACCACAACCACCTGGAGAGCGTGGTCGGCATCCCGCAGTCGCTGTCAGTGTTGTACCTGTCCCACAACCGGATCGCTTCCATCCGGCCGGGACGCAGCTGGCCGACCATGAACTCCCTCATCGAGCTGGACCTCGATAGTAACCTGCTGGCCGACAACCTGGAGGGCGGCGCCTTTGAGAACCTGCGCACCGTCCGCCTGCTGCACCTGCGCAACAACTCCATGACGCTTCCGCCGTGGCAGGCGCTGTCCGACATGACGACGCTGCAGCATCTCTACCTGGACGACAACAGGATCACGACCATGGGCCGCGGCGCGCTCGGCAAGCTGCTGGTGCTGTTCGAGCTCACAATGCGCCGGAACGGCCTGCGCGACGTGGCTCAGCGCGCCTTCGAGGGCAACGCGCAGCTGATCAACCTGACCCTGGCCGAGAACGACATCGAGTTCATCCCCAACGAGGCGTTCAAAGGTGAGCCATGCGGATAAAAGAGTATTGAGAGAGAAGGGAGCACGAACAGACATTTGCATCAGAGCATGAATGAGCGTTAAAATGCAGCCCGACTGATGGAAATCGTACAGCCAATGCATGTCCGCAAAGCTTACGATTACATATTGTATTGACGCCAACATTGATAAAAAATCGATTTATTTTGGCCACCAATATTTTTTAGACCAAATATATTCTTTGTCATCACTAGAATAAGTGCAAATAAAGTCAATAGCATATAATACATTGCGAAAAATGCATCCATTCCTATCACATCTAAGTCTCGTACAGTCACTGCCGAGCCCAATCACTGACTTTCTATGCCCCGGTGTTTTCCAACAGGTCTGGTGGCCCTGAACAAAATCGATCTGTCCCACAACCGACTGTCGGTGATGAATAACCAGACACACGGCCTGTTCGACGACTGTCTCTCGCTGAGAAAGGTAAGACTGCCTGGTTCGCCGAGCTGGCAGGCAGAGAAGAGAAAAGTTTGCGATGATGTAAAGCTGGCCTAAGTGCTAACTGCTAACTATGCCTCGATGCGATGATGTAAGGATTGCTTTAGCGGGTGCAAGTTTTATCGAGTGTTACTCTTATCCACGCCAAGTCTCGCAACTATTTGGCATACATTCTCCTAATACAAAATTAGCACGACTTGCTCAGTGTATAATGTATAGCCTGCCATTTATGACTGAAAACCTATCAAAGTGGCCCTATGAATGACCCAACGACACGCCACATTTCCGCCGCTGTTGCAGGTGAACCTGTCGCACAACCACGTCTCCCAGATCCACGTGAAGACGTTCCCCTACAGCAAGTGGATCCCCTACCGACTCGAGGAGCTCGACCTCTCCTCCAACAAGCTGGCCGTCATCGGCAGGGACTTCAGCACCGGCCTCAAGGACCTGAAGAAGCTGAACCTAGCCAACAACTCGCTCATCGAGACCAGACAATGTGAGCATACTCTAAGAATTCTGTCCGAAGCATATAATTGGAATAATTTTTAGAGGAAAGTAATGAGGCATGATGTGCGTCCGCCCGCTTTTGCCAAATCGAAAGATAATAGTTATTCACTTCATTTGATTCATACCAAAACTAAAACCTGAGTTTTAACCTGAGGTAAACCTGAGTTTGTGTCCATAAAATACGTCTAAAAGAACTGAAGACCTTCAATCTTCAATGAATAGCACGCTGTAGAAAACACGATCTTCTGGATAATGCGTCATTCCGTCACCGACTCACTAGCATACCATCTGTCCGATGTTCCGCAGACGTGCTGGGCAACCTGACCAAGCTGGAGGAGCTGGACCTGTCGCACAACCAGCTGGCCCACTTCCCGGAGGACTCCATCGGACCCAATGTGAGTAGCGGTACTCATTTACGATCCAAGCACGCATTGGGAGCGGTACATGGCATCAGTGAGTGCCTTCCGGGATAAATTCGGCTATTAAACGATGATAGGTATTTTCAACCGACACGTTAAGGGTGTATGTTTTGGACTGTAGAAAAAAGCGACATCATGCAATGAAGAAGGAACTTTGGGTGATGATTTGTGAAGAATCGTTATGAATTAGGTATTGGTAATTCGCCGGGTTTGCCAACACATATACAACACATCTATATTACTATTTGAACAGGATCCATCTGTCTGTCTGTCTGTCCGCACTTGGTCTCCCCAATATATTGCAGTTCGCACCGTCTGCAATATATCCAGGCACATCATCCTGGATGGGTAGTGGGTTCAATTCCACTCGCCTACAGGGCAGACGGTATATCGTAGGGGGTTGAAATTTGCACACCTTATAGGTGACAGACCGGGTCAGCGCCTTTTCTAGGTTCCGACTCGCTGGGGTGCACGGTTCGCGCGTGGGGCGCGCTGGAAGAACGCCAATGAAATTTTGATCGGTTCGTAGATCTTCATTGAGAGCCGGGGTCGACAAACTTTGGGGACTAAATGCATGCCGATCGGCGGCGAGTACCTCGCATTGGCGGATGGGCAAGTTTTAATTTGAATAAATAGTGGCGAGAGATTGTGTAGATTTTCGTTGAATGGCAACAGTTTGTGATACGAGTTTACAAATGCACCGCGTTTGCCGCAATGCGCCACAATTATCTCAGGGCGTCATTTTCGCCGCAACTCGCACAGTTTTGTCAAATATAGTCCGATATGGGTGTAATTTGGTGTCAAGATGCATGCTCAAACAACAGGTACAGATGCGCCGCATTTGCCGCAATGCGCCACATTTGCCACAAAGCGCCATTTCCGACAAAATCGAGTAAGGGCAATGGAATGGCACGAATTATTCTGTGACCTGACATGACCCAGCGGTGTTGGTAGGAGTAGGGGTAGGGGTAGTGGTAGGGGTAGTGTAAGGGTAGTAGTAGGGGTAGTGGTAGGGGTAGTGGTAGGGGTAGTGGTAGGGGTAGTGGTATGGGTAGTAGTAGTGGTAGGGGTAGATGTAGTGGTAGGGGTAGGGGTAGTGGTAGGGGTAGTGGTAGGGGTAGTGGTAGGGGTAGTGGTAGGGATAGTGGTAGGGGACAGGGGTAGGGGTAGTGGTAGGGTAGGGGTAGTGGTAGGGGTAGTGGTAGGGGTAGGGGTAGTGGTGGAGACAAAAGCAGAACAGTGGCCCGGGCTGATCCCAGCGGACGAGAGGTGACCTATGTGACCTGGCCTGACCCAAAGTGACCGGGGCTGACCCCTTTGACCCGTCTTGACCCCGTATCACCCAAATTTCATCCAACAACGCCCTCAGAACAGTTCTTTTTTAAATTCTCTTCACATTTCCGTCCATATCTATGCTTCTAGACGACACATCGACATGAATCAAACACCATTCGAAAGCAAATTGGCTGGTGCCGCAATTTTTTCCTACCACGCAGCAAAGCAAGTGGCGCAGCCGCTTGTCTATACTACTATTTCAACAGGATCCATCTGTCTGTCTGTCTGTTTGTCCGCCACGCCGTGTAGTGGGTTCAATTTAGCCGGCCTACAGGGCAGACGGTATATCGTAGGGGGTTGAAATTTGCACACCTTATAGGTGACAGAGCGGGTCAGTGCCTTTTCTAGGTTTCGGCTCGCTGGGGTGCACGGTTTGCGCGTGGGGCGCGCTGAAAGAACGCCAATGAAATTTTGATCGGTTCGTAGATCTTCATTGAGAGCCGGGGTCGACAAACTTTGTGGACTAAATGCATGCCGATCGGCGGCGAGTGCCTCGCATTGGCGGATCGGCAAGTTATTAATTTGAATGAAAAGTGGCGAGAGAGCGTGTTGATTTTCGTTCAATGGAAACAGTTTGTGATACGAGTATACAAATGCACCGCGTTTGCCGCAATGCGCCACAATTATCTCAGGGCGTCATTTTCGCCGCAAATCGCACAGTTTTGTCAAATATAGTCCGATATGAGTGCAATTTGGTGCCAAGATGCATGCTCAATCGTCGGGTGAAAATGCGCCGCGTTTGTCGTAGTGCGCCACATATGCCACAAAGCGCCATTTCCGACAAATACGATTAAGTGTAATGGAATGGCACGAATAGGGGCAGGGCTGGGAACACTTTAAGTCTGATATTGGTACTGAATGGATCCAATTATTCTGTGACCTGACATGACCCAGCGGTGTTGGTAGTGGTAGGGGTAGTAGTAGGGGTAGTAATAGGGGTAGTGGTAGGGGTAGTGGTAGGGGTAGTAGTAGGGGTAGTAGTAGGGGTAGTACTAGGGGTAGTGGTAGGGGTAGTGGTAGGGGTAGTGGTAGGGGTAGTGGTAGGGGTAGTGGTAGGGGTAGGGGTAGGAGTAGGGGTAGGGGTAGAGGTAGTGGTAGGGGTAGTGGTAGGGGTAGTGGTAGGGGTAGTGGTAGGGGTAGGGGTAGGAGTAGGGGTAGGGGTAGAGGTAGTGGTAGGGGTAGTGGTAGGGGTAGTGGTAGGGGTAGTGGTAGGGGTAGGGGTAGGGGTAGTAGTGGAGGCAAAAGTAGAATAGTGGCCCGGGCTGATCCCATCGGACGAGAGGTGACCTATGTGACCTGGCCTGACCCAAAGTGACCGAGGCTGACCTCTTGACCCGTCTTGACCCCGTATCAGCCAAATTTCACCCAACAAAGCTCTCAGAGCAGTTCTTTTTTAAATCTCTTCACATTTCCGTCCATATCTATGCTTCTAGACGACACATCGATTTGAATCGAACACCATTCGAAAGCAAATTGGCTGGTGCCGCAATTTGTTCCTACCACGCAGCAAAGCAAGTGGCGCAGCCGCTTGTCTAAATAACTAATCGAACAGGATCCATCTGTCTGTTTGTCTGTCCGCACTTGGTCTCCCCAATATATTACAGTTCGCACCGTCTGCAATATATCCAGGCGCATCATCCTGGATGGGTAGTGGGTTCAATTCCACTCGCCTACAGGGCAGACGGTATATCGTAGGGGGTTGAAATTTGCACACCTTATAGGTGATAGACCGGGTCAGCGCCTTTTCTAGGTTCCGACTCGCTGGGGTGCACGGTTCGCGCGTGGGGCGCGCTGGAAGAACGCCAATGAAATTTTGATCGGTTCGTAGATCTTCATTGAGAGCCGGGGTCGACAAACTTTGGGGACTAAATGCATGCCGATCGGCGGCGAGTACCTCGCATTGGCGGATGGGCAAGTTTTAATTTGAATAAATAGTGGCGAGAGATTGTGTAGATTTTCGTTGAATGGCAACAGTTTGTGATACGAGTTTACAAATGCACCGCGTTTGCCGCAATGCGCCACAATTATCTCAGGGCGTCATTTTCGCCGCAACTCGCACAGTTTTGTCAAATATAGTCCGATATGGGTGTAATTTGGTGTCAAGATGCATGCTCAAACAACAGGTACAGATGCGCCGCATTTGCCGCAATGCGCCACATTTGCCACAAAGCGCCATTTCCGACAAAATCGAGTAAGGGCAATGGAATGGCACGAATTATTCTGTGACCTGACATGACCCAGCGGTGTTGGTAGGAGTAGGGGTAGTGGTAGGGGTAGTGGTAGGGGTAGTGTAGTGGTAAGGGTAGTGGTAGGGGTAGTGGTAGGGGTAGTGGTAGGGGTAGTGGTATGGGTAGTAGTAGTGGTAGTGGTAGGGGTAGTGGTAGGGGTAGGGGTAGTGGTAGGGGTAGTGGTAGGGGTAGTGGTAGGGGTAGTGGTAGGGGACAGGGGTAGGAGTAGGGGTAGGGGTAGGGGTAGGGTAGGGGTAGTGGTAGGGGTAGTGGTAGGGGTAGGGGTAGTGGTGGAGACAAAAGCAGAACAGTGGCCCGGGCTGATCCCAGCGGACGAGAGGTGACCTATGTGACCTGGCCTGACCCAAAGTGACCGGGGCTGACCCCTTTGACCCGTCTTGACCCCGTATCACCCAAATTTCATCCACCAACGCCCTCAGAACAGTTCTTTTTTAAATTCTCTTCACAATTCCGTCCATATCTATGCTTCTAGACGACACATCGACATGAATCAAACACCATTCGAAAGCAAATTGGCTGGTGCCGCAATTTTTCCTACCACGCAGCAAAGCAAGTGGCGCAGCCGCTTGTCTATATTACTATTTGAGGAGGGTGCGTCTGTCCGTTACCGAGGTCCCGACTTGGTCGTGCTTTGCGTGGACTACAGGCCAGACCGTTGCACCTAGCGTGGTGAAATTTGCACAACTTATAGATCAAGGATGCGCGACGTGCCTTTGAGGGGTCTCAGCTCGATCGGATTGATAGGGAGCGCGTGGCGCGTGCTCAAAAAGTGCAAATTCGCGTCATAGACTTTACATGTATAAATCGCCTTGCAAAATCGGGCGAAAATGGCCGAATTTGTCCGACACGGGTCCGATCCCCGTGCAATATCTCGGTAACCCTGGGCCCGATCGGCACGGGGAAAACAGCATCGTGTAGATAATTGAGCGGGCTGTCGAATGGTGTACGATGCAGAGGAAGGCACGTGCCACGTGCACCCGTGAGGGCACTTTTGTTGAAAAATGCGGTTTTTGACGGATTTTGGAATTGATTTTATTTTTAGGTGACCGTTAAACAGAGCGAGTTGAAACAACGCCTGTGGGCAAGAGAAATGTACCGCCTCTCATGGGAAAATTGTGAAAAGCTAATTGATCGACGCCAAGGTGGTACAAATCACGGGAGAAAATGGTGTGTGTCGATGATGTGCCACTTTATTATTCACACGGGTTTTGCTGTATAACCTGATACGTTTGGCAGTTGAAAATGGTACCGTTGGAAAGAGCATTCAATTCTGTCCAAGGCTCAATCTTCATTTTTACATTATAAGCAACAGTATTCTTTAAAAAAATGTAAATATTCCAAACCATTACATTGTCATTTTTAGCGAAATTCATCGATGGCCCTCAAAAGACTTCACGCCAGTTTTCGAATCATTCTAAAGTAGAACGCATGATAATACGACACGGACACCTCGATGCGATGTATCTTTTTTGTTTTGGCCATCAAAAAGCATTCGAACGAAATGGATACCAACCAAATCGACACAGACCAACCCAATACCCACGGGTCACAAATAACCCTTCTTCGCGTTGCGGAGCACGCGGGTAACCCTAGTCTATATTACTATTTGAGGAGGGTGCGTCTGTCCGTTACCGAGGTCCCGACTTGGTGGTGCTTTGCGTGGACTACAGGCCAGACTGTTGCACCTAGCGCGCTGAAATTTGCACAACTCATAGATCAAGGATGCGCGACGTGCCTTTGAGGGGTCTCAGCTCGATCGGATTGATAGGGAGCGCGTGGCGCGTGCTCAAAAAGTGCAAATTCGCGTCATAGACTTTACATGTATAAATCGGCGTGCGAAATCGGGCGAAAACGGCTAATTTTGGCCGACACGGGTCCAGTTCCCGTGCAATATCTTGGTGACCAGGGGTCCGACCGGCACGGGGAAAACAGCATCGTGTACAGAATTGAACGAGCTATTGAACGGTGTGCAACGCAGAGGATAGCACGCGCCACGTGCACCGGAGAGGGCACTTTTATTTGAAAAATTGCGGTTTTTGAGGGATTTTGGAATTAATTTTATTTTTAGGTGACCGTTAAATGGAGCGAGTTGAATCAACGCCTTTTGGCAAGAGAAATGTACCGCCTCTCATGGAAAAATTGCGAAAAGCTTATTGATCCAAATCAAGGTGGTGCAAATCACGGGAGAAAATGGTGTTTGTCAATTTTGTGCTACTTTATTAATCACACGGGTTTTGCTCCATGATCTGATATCTCTGGCAATTAAAAATGGCACCGTTGGAAAGAGCATTCAATTCTGTCCAATATTCACTCTTCATTTTTGCATGACGGGCAACAGTATTCTTAAAAATGTAAATGTTCCAAACCATTACATTGCCATTTTTAGCGAAATTCATCGATGGCCCTCAAAAGGCTTCACGCCAGTTTTCGAATCATTCATAAAGTAGAACGCATGGATAATACGACACGGGCACCTCGATGCGATGTATCTTTTTATTACAAAATGCTTGGCCGTCAAAAAGCAATCGAACGAAATGGATACCAACCAAATCGACACAGACCAACCCAATACCCACGGGTCAAAAATAACCCTTCGCGTTGCGGAGCACGCGGGTAACCCTAGTGTGCCACTATGTAAACAACTATTCCGTAGTGTAGGTCGCCCAACAATTCCTTCGTGTATATGTGCCTGCAGCCGAAGATGCTGAAGCTGAAGCTGAACGACAACTTCCTGATCACGCTGCCGGTGGAGGCGATGTCGGAGATGGTGAACCTCACGCTGCTGGACGTCTCCAACAACCGGGTGCGCCGGTTCTACGACCAGCTGATGCCCTGGATCGAGAACGGAACGCAGGTCTTCTACCAAGGTAAACGAACGCCAGAATGGCAGTCAATTGTTCCACCCTGGAGCGCCGGAGCCATCAGTCTTTCAGTATACTAATGAGAAAACTGAGCAGACAGAATTGTCAGCTTCATCTATGCGAGTGCTGTCATGCTACATCACCCCGACGTCATGTACCGTCACATTCTAACGTGTTCCAGCGTGTTCCTCACCAAGGTAACAGCGCTAACAAGATTTACCACACCTCCCGAAATTACCTGCGCGTTCCCTAACTATCCCTTCTTCAGCTAACCAGCTCGTTACAAATTATCCCGTCCATCCTATCCCGCAGGTAACCAGCTGCGGTGCGACTGCGCGCTGCGCCGCCTCCGCTCCTGGATGGACGACCGGACGGCCGAGCCCGACTCCCCGTGGGCCTCCGTCGCCTGCGAGACGCCGGCCGAGATGCGCGGTCAGATCGTCACCGAGCTGGACGTGGCGGCTCTGACCTGCATCGGACCCGAGCAGGACGCCAGCGTGTACCAGGAGAAACCGGACATTGTGTTCCGCAGCGTGGATGGGTGAGGAGTTGAGCGGGGACGGTAGAGGGATCGACAGGATACGGAACTGGGGGTGGGGATAGGATGTGAGAGAAGAGCGAGGGATAGTGTGGTAATGGCTGGACGGAGGGTGGAGGGGGGTCGGTGAGGGACGCTGGTGCGCATTAACTGTCTAGGAACATTGAGAATAAAGAAAATAGTGTGCAGGCCTCAGGAGAGCCATGTGAGAACAATGGGCTAAACCTCAATCGGGATAAAGTAGAAAACGCTAAACCAAAAAGTAAATTTCACTAACTAAACCTCTCAGAAACAAGCACTCGTGGACACGGCCAATCTGTCAAATATGTTTGCCCCTCACACCTCTTCCCGCCGTTCTACTTTCAGGGAGGAGGACGGCGCGCTACGGCTCTCCTGGTACGTCAACACCCGCGAGGACGTCGGCGACTTCGTCATCCTGGCGCGGGCGCTGAACGAGACGCGTCCGAGCGCCACCGAGGCGGTGTCCTACACGGAGCGCACAGCGCGCCTGGCGCCGCTGCTCGCCGGCCAAAAGTACCTGGTGTGTGTGCGCGCGCTGACCTCGGGCGGAGAGCTGAGGCCCCACAGGGACGGTCAGTGTCGCACCGTGTCACCAGCGGCACCAGTGGCTGCCGCACCACCGCTCCTGGTGCTGGTGATGGTGGCACTGGTGTCACTACGGCTGGTGAACCAGTGAAGAGAGAGCGGAGGAGGAGAGTCGGGGTATTGCAGAGGATCGGTGACGGCCGAGCGTCGACCGGTGACCGAAGAAGTCTTAGAGCTCGCTCGACGACACAAGACATCGAGAGCACGGAGACGGAAATACGGAAGCATCTAGTCAAAGATGGAGATAAAGCTGTGGTCGACATGACATTGGAGCGACGATCAAGCGAATATGATCCCTGAAATCACGCAAAAGAATACGGGAATGCCGATCAGTTAATCAGCTACACATTGATCGACGAAAAACAGCAGGATACTGTAAGAAAAAGAACATGATTTTCTAGTAAAGATGCGGGATTCAATAGCTGGGAACCTGTCGTGAATCGGCAAGCGACCAGCTCGGTTCTGTCTGCGATCTCTGGTGTCCGATGGAGTAACGTTGCTAAGACATCGCGGCTCGCTTGGCGCAAACGCCGGGTGACCCCGATACCACAAGAACATTTGAAGCAGAGGGCAAACGTGCGTAAGGTACAGTATGTCTAAAAAGTATGTCCCCTGGTTTGGCTCTCCCACAGGAGGCGAATCGGTAACTTGGCTGAATCCCAGTTGCGGCACCCGGCCGCCAGGGTCGCTGCCGCGCGAGCGGCCTTGACCGCTCGCATGTCATTGGCAGTTCGGTCCCTCCCCATCTATACAGAGGTGGGGAGGGGAGAAGAGGGGAAGAGAGGGGAGGGAGCGGCATCTGCTCGGCACTGGGCGATACCTGGCTGACCCCGCGCTCCCTCGCTGACCTCCGTCCTGCCCTCAGGCGAAGACCGACTTCCTCGGCCCGTAGCGGCCGAGCGGAAAACCGAGCTCGCAGGGCGCGACTCCATTGGCCCAATCTTATAAATGGAATGCTGTCGTATTCACGGCATTAGATAATATTAATAGTGATACCAGCAGTGGATGTCGTAAAATACAGTCCAAAACAAACGAAAGCACACGATTGACGCATAATGCGCCCTCCCATTCAAATAAGCCCGCCCACTTCAATAGATGGTGTAGTTTCAATTCTTAGGGCGTAAAAGATGCAAAACACTACCAAACTTTTTTAGCTCGGCCACTGGGACCGTCAATATACAATTGACTGAAATGCATGAAAATCATTTTGCATTTAATAGCCATTTCCTGCACCCAAACTTTAGCCAGTGACGCCCTGTCCATTCTAAAGCGTTTATAAGATTGGTCCCAGCACCCGATTATATATGAGGAAGTCGTTTAAAAAGTATCTTATCTCTAACCAATTTATTTATTATGGCCACTTTTACAGGACGTCTATAGAGCTTTGACTTTTACATTTCTTCCTCGTTCAGGAGCAACGTTTTAACCCTCACCGGACCTTCAGGTTTTCTGAATACCGAGGGGGCGTTGGGGGGTTGGAAGTGAGGGAACAACCCCATTTGCCGATTCGCCCCTTAATGAGCTAGAGCCTCACGAAAGAAACGATCGTGCGCGTCGTTACGAAATGCAGCGATTGGTCTCCGATTTTAAGGACCAGGATCAGCCGATGACTTCTGAGGTTAGGTCAAGTGGCCCAAGGCACAGGTTCGGTTTTTGGTAAATAGCTTCGCTAAACATGATCGCAGATCCGCGATTTTAGCAGCATCGTGTTTGTCTAGCTCAGGCGTGTCGAATGGTATACTTTTTCTTCGGGTGAGATCAAGTTAAGGTGTTAACCTCGGGTCAAGGTCAGGTCACAGCCCGTCAGGTCACGAAGCTGGTCAAAGCATAGAGATCTTATAAACAATTTAATTTATGATAGTTTAATTCAAGTCGGTATGAATCCGATTTGACAATTTACTAGGTGGGTTTTGCAACGCTATTACTTCGGCATGTAATTATAAATCATTGCTAATTTCGATCCGGATGTCGTTATTCAATGCTGGCCTTTGCGCCCTCGGAAAAGTTTATAGTCATGAAGGCTTGCATTGACCCATACTTTCCATTTTTCAGCACCATTATTCGCCGTAGTTAACCAGGTATTTTTCTTCAGCTCTCCCCCGAATCATTTGGCTTAGACCCATGGCGTATCACCCGTGCATCGCTGATCGCAAGACGCACCTACCACACACAAGTTCACGATCCCCACGAACCCACATCAGCGTCCGTTCGCTTGGTGTGTGACCCCTTGACCTTTGGCCGCGGCAACTGCCAGCTTGCCGGAGCACCCCTCCCAGCACGCGCTGCCCCGCCCGCTCCCCTCCCTCTCTCCCTTCCCCCCCCCCCCCGGGGTCGTGTCACGAAGGTTCGGGCTTACGCTACTACCGGCCGCTGCGCAGCTGTCACCTAGCGCTTGGGAATGTGTGGTCTGGTGCGGATTCAGCCAACTACCGGCTCGCGACACCAGCGCCACGTAGTGGCGACGGTACATTCTTTTTAGACATACTGTACAGCCCGCGCCAGAAGAGACGCCAGTTGTGCAATACGAGTACCCATTTCAGCAGTGATAGCGTACAGTGATGACAGCTCGACCCGCACAGCCAGGCGGCGCTGGTGGGTCAAGCTGTCCAGTGAGATTATACTGTGATTTAGTCGGGTAGCTGAGGTTCGTATCATCAATAGAATTCCGCTGTCAAAGCGGTGTAGTTTCCAGAGTCTGTTGACATTCATAGTTCGCTGATGTTAAGAATATATGTCATCCCAGGTCCCAGGAACATTGTTTTAGATGCCTAACTGCTTACGAAGCAAATCATTGACACTAACATAAGTCATCTATATGACTCCAATCAAAAAGTCACCAAATTCAAGCATTGCTGAAAGCCGCTATTAATAGAAAGAGCGAAGCAGAAGCGCGTATATTTGATGCACACTAATTCGTACATGAACCATTCAACATCACACAATAGAGCTCCGTGGCAGTAGCTACGGGAGCAGATAAAAGTGAAATACCAGATATAGGAAGGAAAAACGGATGGAAGATTGAGCGCTAGAAAAGGGAGGATAAGAGCGAGGGAGAGGAGACAGAGATGGAGACAGGGGAGAAAAGGGGAAAGGAGAGACTAAGAGGGAGAGATAGAGAGAGAGAGAGAGAGAGAGAGAGAGAGAGAGAGAGAGAGAGAGACAGAGAGAGAGACAGAGAGAGAGAGAGAGAGACAGAGAGAGAGAGACAGAGAGAGAGAGACAGAGAGAGAGAGAGACAGAGAGAGAGAGAGAGAGAGAGAGAGAGAGAGACACAGAGAGAGACACAGAGAGAGACACAGAGAGAGACACAGAGAGAGAGACACAGAGAGAGACACAGAGAGAGACACAGAGAGAGACACAGAGAGAGACACAGAGAGAGACAGAGAGACAGAGAGACAGAGAGACAGAGAGACAGAGAGACAGACAGAGAGAGAGAGAGAGAGAGAGAGAGAGAGAGGGAGAGGGAGAGAGAGAGAGAGAGAGAGAGAGAGAGAGAGAGAGAGAGAGAGAGAGAGAGAGAGAGAGAGAGAGAGAGAGAGAGAGAGAGAGAGAGAGAGAGAGAGAGAGAGAGAGAGAGAGAATGAGATAGATGCGAAACAGTGTATGACCAAGCGAGAGAGTGGAATAACCAATTGACAGAAATGGAGAAGACTAGATTTTCCGACTAGATTTGATTCTCGACTAGACACCTAGACATCTTTAACACTCGATATACACTATTTTGGACGGAAAGTTCACAGCAAACAGCTGTCACCACTCAACCGCCCCGCCGGCAATGACGTCAGCATGTACTGGACGGGTCTGGACGGCACAGTAACGGAATTGGCTTGGATCTCATGACCGCCTCCTGGTGTGGACTGTAACTCAGTGGTACTGGGCGGCTCTGGACGCCATAGTAATGGGATATGCCGCACCGAACCGGTACTAGACAGGTCTGGATGGCAGAGTAATGGAATGTTCTTAGGCTGAAATAGGCTGAATCACACCAGCGCTGGATTGGACTGCACCGCAGCGGTAGATGCTGTGCTTTACTGGAAGGCTGCTTTGCAGGGATACGCTGGGTTAAAGCGGTGCCGGGCGAACCAAAACGGTAACGGAATGGAAGCCGACATGTGGCTATCGCAGCCGGCCAGGGCGGAGTATTGGCTGACTCCGGTAATGGTCACTCTTTATATAAAAGGCCAAATCACGCAATAAGCTGAGTGGCACCGGGACGCTGGACTAGACGTAGCATAGTCGGGACTCTGGAGTGGCGGTAGGCTAGAGAACACGACATGAATTGGATCAATATTTGTCGCAGCGGTGGCGTTTACGTCCACTGACGTGCTTCCAGCTTCCACACCCGATCCCAGCTTTGACGGCAGACTGGTGACGCGGCAGTGTCACCGGGCTACACCGCAAACAGTGCGGCACAGCGGCAAGGTGGGAGGGCGAGACGCGGCGGAGGTAGGCGCCCCTGTGCCCCTGTCAGTGGGGCAGACTTCGCACGCGCCGGCACCGCCCTGGACAGTGGACACTGCACACTGCTAGCTACACTACACTACATCGCGCTACACTACAGAGAGCAACACAACACTGCGGCAGGCACTATGCGAGTCGCATGGTGCAAGCCAGGGGGCTGCGAATGGCGAGCAGCTCGGCTATAAGCAGTAAGCTGTCCCACGCTACTGGCGGCAATCGACAGACGCGACGCGCAGCCTAGTCTGTGTAGACGATAGCCTAGAACGGTCTGAACTAGCTTTGATAGACTAGACGCAATGCGCAGACTAGAGTCACAGCAAATGAGATCACCGGACAAACGGCCGATACGGGCTGGCAATGGGGCAGGGAGAGTGCGGCAGACAGCACACTGGTGGGAAACACTGCAGAAGGGCGGCACACTGTGATGGTGGGATAGCACACCGTCAATGGGGAGATGGCAGGGGGAGACGGTCTGCAGTTAGGGGGATTTTGCACCGACAGAGAGGCCTCAGCACATTGGGATAAGGGGACATCACACCGACACACGGCCAGAGGATAGCACACAATGCGGAAAGGGGACAGCACACTGTGGATAAAGGACAGGACACACCAGCCACCACCATCTACGGAAAAACGCCAACGCGGCCAAAATCGCCTATGGCGGCGCAGGCCAGTGGACACGAACTGAACTGAACTGTCCGGGGAAGGGCGAAAGGGACACCGCTTTCAGGACAGCACACCGCGACGAAGGTAAGACGTCAGAACTACTCTTCTAATCGCATAGCGCGCCTCCTCTGCTCGATAAACAATCGTTGACTGTCGGTCTCCGCCGAGGCAGCGTCCCATTCCCGCTGACCGTTGCAGGGTATCCGCTGCGGCTCCATCTGCTCCAGACGCTCGGCTCGGACACAGCTACTCCGACAGAGCGTCCATCATGTTCAGCAGGTCCTGCTGCCCGCCGCTGGCTGGCGGCTCGCCGATCGTCATGTCCTCCATCACCTTCTGCAGGTGGTCGCTGCGGCCGCGCGTGCCCTGCACCGGCTGGTTGCTACCGTCGGCCGCCGCGCCGCTGCCAGAGGAGACAGACTCACAGTCAGTGACGACAGTTAGTTGACCAGGGTTAGCAGTGAAGAGACATTGACAGACACAGCTCCGGGGAGAAACTGACGAGTGAGGACGACACACTCAGTAGACAGTAACAATACCACATTGCAGGGATATAAGAAACCACAGATAACATGAATCATGTTATCTATGAAGAAACACATCAGAAGCTGTGAGTACAACAGCTGCCAACCGTACTGACCTGGCAGCAGCGGCGGCAGCAGCGGCCGGTCCGGGCAGGTTCAAACGAATCTCGCACTTCTGCTGGCCGCCCTGGCCGATCAGCTGAGCTAGCAGCTCCAGCGCCTGGGCGGCTCGCTCGGCCGTCGGACCGGAGCCACAGACCGGCGAGGCGGGAGAGGGCGAGGGCGAGGTGGTGGGCGGCTCGTCCCCTGCACCGCCACTGCCGGTCGGGCCCGCCGACACCGGCTCGCTGCCCTGGCTGCTGTAGCTGCAGACGGACGGGAAACTGTCAGATAACGTATCAACGTTAAATGAATAGTGCGTAATTTTCCAGAAACGGTCACAAAAAAATGTGCTACCGTAGTGTGCTGCAATACCATGTGACGGTTAGCTATCTAACATATAACATAGACTCAAAAATAGGCTGTTGCCATGTTTACATGCCTTTCAATACCTACCCTTTATCTGTCCTACACCTTTTTGTATGAACTTCAGATAGCACTCCGATCCTAATGTCCTCAGACACTTCCAGCCATCACCACCGAGTCCTCTCAGATCGACATCATCCATGAACACTACCCCGTAGGTATTTCATACTGACATGTTGGTGCCGAGCGTGGTGCCTCGGTCTCCGTTCTGCGCCAGGGTTCCGGAGCGCGCCGGCTCACCGGGTAGCTCCTTACACGGGTACCGGCAGGTGCTGGTGATCTCACCACGCTCGTCAAAGTAGCGGATCTCGCCCGGCATCGACACACCTGATGGAGGAGAATACAACGATATTAAAGCTCGGTCTGATAGTGTAAACCAGCTGACATAGCTGGGCATCGACACGTCTGAGAACAAAACGCAGTGCTGCCGAAATACGGCCACATCGAGGGCCAGCGACATTCCACGAAATTATCTGCGACTGAAAACTTATTCTCTTCTCGTCCTTACGACGCATACGTCCATTCCATCCTGAAGACGGGCTGCTCTTACCCTCTGACAGAGTCTGCCTTTATCCTAAGATAACGTTCATTCCTATCCCCTGTTAGACCCCGTTCTTACCCTCAATCAGAGTCCGATCTGACCTTCTGCTAAACTTTGCTCTTACCCTCCAGCAGAGCCCACTCTTACCCTCTGGCAGAGGTCCGGTGACATCGATCACAAACGTGCCGCTGGGATTCTGCCGCTTCTCCTTGAGGAAGATGGACACCTTGACTCGGTAGTCGAGGAAGAAGTTGAGGATGTCGTAGCGGATGTCCTGCATCTCTCCCTCGGGGAGATTGCCGTAACACTGTGGGGAAGACGGGCCACCAGCACGGTCACCCAACCGTGGAGACACCCGATCGAAGTACGTCAAAGGCTACGAATTTTATCGAGTTTTGAATAGGACAAGCTATTCAAACCTTTACCTGCTACCTAAATCGGCGCAAAACACATAAGGCTAAAAAATAATAAGTCCAGATCAGACAGTTCCTTCATCACCGCTGGGCTTTTGGCATTGGTTGTTTCCTTTTCCTCACCCGTAACATTTGATCATAAAAACCGATAATCAGCATTTTACCGTTCAAATGCTGGTGATCCCCTTTCAAGCGAGTCCACTGCTGCCCATTGTTATTTACGCTTCCCCAACAAAAAGCAGAACCCAGTCCATATAGTGCTGCTCCAGCCTCCAGCTCACCTGCACGGCCAGATCGTAAGCTGTCTGCACCTGCTTGCTGACGCGGGGTGCGGTGGCAAAGCAAGCCATGCTGTCCAGGTGGTTCAGGGTGACCATGAGCAGCTGGCGCGGGTGTGAGCACTGCTCCACCTGGTACTTGAACACCATGGCCATCAGGTCGTACAGCTAATGGCAGGAGGGGAGCAGGTCACTGGTCAGACAGGGTCGCAGATATTGAGAGACACCAAAGGTCACCAGCCACCGGCCATGAAATAACTGATAACCAGAGGGTGCTCATTGTAAACCATAAAAAGGAATGATGGTAACAGATAAAAAAGGCATGGTTAACTGTACAGAAATAAGAAAGATAATAGCATATCATTGTAAGCTTCTGCTAAACAAAATCTGTCTTAATTTCACTATCTAGCATGTCTGGTCTGCAAGCTTTTCATAACAGCTTTGGCTTACTTTGTCCATGCTCTGTTTGTTGAGCCTCATGATGGAGCTGTGGGCCAGCCGGTAGAAGATGGTCCGCAGACTCTGAGCCGAGTAGATGGACTGCGGTCTGAACAGCTCCTCAATGAACCGGCTGGTGCACATCAGACCCAGGATGTCATCCAGCACTGCAGGAGAAACAAGGTCCTAAGAATTGTTGGACCTGTGAATTTCTGATGGATCAAAAATTAATTAAGTACATACCTAGGTACCTAATGTATAAAATACATCAGATTCAAAATACAGTTACCAACAGGCAGCAATAGTTCGATAATAAAATCATGAATGTAGAATGTTTAAAACTTACTTTTTCAAACAAGGAAAAAACTTGATATTTGAACTACAGCAGAAGTTACAAACGTTTCCAAAAGCCTAAACATACAAATTGCCTGCACAATAACAGGATCTTGTTAAAGTGACTGCCGCTGCCGCAGCTCACACAGTAAAAAAGGCTGGGCTTAGCTAAGCTAGCGGCCAATCAGGAGGGCAGAAACTGGAGTCTGTATATGTCCCCTGATTGGCCGCTAGCTAAGCCCTGCCTTTTAGACCGCAGGAGCTGCGGTAGCCGCAGACACTTGAACAAGGCCCAGGCCTAGTCCAGTACAAGAAACCAGAGAATAGAGATCAGTATAGTCTTACACTAAGTAAGAAATAAGAAAAATACTGCATGAAACTGTTCCACCCCTACAATATCGTTCATGCAGTTGCATAGCAAATTCAATATTTACCTTTTTCAGCCTTTGCTTGATGGATTTCTTGTGCCCTCAACCTCTGGTCTAGAATATAAATCATTTCTCCTCCCATGTTGAGGAAAAGCAGGGGCATCGCTTTTAAAGACATTTTTCTGTTGCTCGTCCTTGGACGGTTTCAAGCCTGAAAGCACACTTATCACTGAATAATAAGTTTCTTTTTGGCGTTTTAACCCTCGGTTTTTAAGATCACAACAGATAGCTCTATACCCCGGATTCAATATTTAATTCTATACTTGACATGCGTGCCTGCTTTTGCTAAATAACATGACATCTGGCGAATGAATGAGCGTACTGCAGATATCGTCAGCGAAAACAAATGCACTAGCATGATTTTAGAACACAAAGCTCTTTCTAATGAGCTGTCTGCTGCGCCATATTTGTCGAACAAAAAATGCTATAGTTCCAAGAGAGCCCCTAGATGGCAGTGCGAAAACGCCTGAAAGTATGCTAGCCCGCAAGACAGCGTTTGGTATTCAATGCATGGGCATGGCTAGTGGGTATTTAGAGCTAACGCTTCAACGAATGTTGCTCCAGCTGTCTTCATGAGATTAGTTTTCGAAATGACCATGATAAGCAGTCGATCAATAGACATGCGGCTATCCTGCGCTGATTGGATTCTAAACGCCGACGTAGGGGCGATAAATGGTCGGCAGAGGTGGAACGGGCTCACAGTCGACATCGCTGGCTTCTGGCGGCAGCAGCTGAAGCCTCACTGAAATGAATAAGCAAGCTAAACCTGCACAGCTCAGAATGTGGAGGACGGTAGTTCTGGTCCTGCTGGTCGTCCTGCCGCTGGTCGGTGCCCACGGCAACTCCTTGCTGGAGGCTGGTGACGTTTCCGACGCAGCCCGACGGGCGCAGCGTCAGGCGGACGTGGTGCACGGGCTGGTGACTGCCGGCCTGCTGCACCATCAGCCTCTGACGCTGGTGACCGGTAGCGGCGGGGATGGGGTGGCGCTCAGTGGTGCTCTTCACTGGCAGCTCCACGTCACCATTCATCACTGCGCGCCCTGCGATAACGCTACGCTCTACCGAGACCTGGTTACTCCTAAGGACGGTCTGAAGCTGGTGGTGGGTGACCTGACGGATTTTGAACAGCTGGGCGCCGTGAAACCGCACCACTGGATCGGCGGGGAGGTGGTACTGCTGCCATCACCAGCCGTCCGCTGCCGCCGGCTGTTCCAGATGCCGCTGCTCTCCAAAGCCGCTCTGCCGCTGTGCGTGGAGGTACCCTCAGCCGGCGCCGGGGCCATTACCGTCCACCAGCGCGGCTACGACGGCTCAATGCGCTCCGAACCGGCGTCTCGCCTGCTCTCCGGAGAGCCTCATTCCCTGCTCGACAGGAATAGCTACCACGGCCGACCATTCGAGGCTTACTTCGTCGATTTCAAGCCGTACTTTGTGTGCGGTGACGCTATTCAGAAGGCCGGCGCGCTGTGTCAGCACCCTCTTCCCGGCCCGGACGCGCTCATCCTAGAGACGTTCGCCGAGCGCGTCAACCTCACACTGCGCTTCCGTCGCTCTCCGGACGGCGGCTGGGGCCAGATCGTCGACGGCACGTGGACGGGAAACGTGGGCGAGGTGTGGCGCGGCCGCGCTGACGCCGCCGTGGCCGGTCTGTTCGTGAACGGCGAGCGGGCGGCGGCCACCCAGTTCAGCGCACATACCTTCCTCGAGGAGGTGGCGCTGGTCTCTGGTCGCGTACCGCTGGGACAGCAGGTCAGTCTTGGCGGCCTGCTGCCCCCCGTCAGCTGGGCGGTGGTCGCCGGCCTGGGGCTGCTGGTAGCTCTCGGCGGCACGCTGATGAGCCGCCCTGACCCGGCCGCCGCTGGACGGCAGCTGCTCAGACAGGTGGAGGACGCATTCCGGGGTCTGTGGGCGCAGCCGGTGACGCGGCTGCCGGCGGACACGCCACGCCGGCTGCTGGTGGGGGTGTGGAGCGCCGCGTGTATCGTTCTCAGCACGGCGCTGGTGACCGGACTGGCCGCCAAGCTGACTGCGCCGCGCGTCTATTGGTCGCCGATGACGCTCTGGGACGCCGTCGAACACGACTACCAGGTGGTGACGCACTCCGAGTACGGCGCCTATGACGCGGCCATGCTGGCGCCGCAGGGACCGCTGTTCGACGGTCTGCGCGCGCGCTGGGTCAAAGGCAACAACCTGCGCACCATGTACCGCATGCTGGACCCGTCCGACCGCGTCTGTCTGCTAGAGGAGGTGCAGTACTACATCACACTGCGTCACCGGCTCATCATCGAGACGGAGGGCCGCGTGCACCCGGAGAGCATCCGGCTGGCCGACCAGCGCGCCTTCACCTTCCTGGTGGGGTTCTCCATGCAGCGCAACACGCCCCTGCTGGGTCGTCTCAACGCGCTCATCTCGCGTCTGCACGCCGCCGGACTGATCCAGCACTGGATGCGGCTGATGCGGCGCACGGACGAGCTGCGCGTCACGGCGGCGCTGCAGCGCGCGCAGCGGCCGCCGCGCGTCTCCGCGCTGCCGCTGAGCCGGCTGCGCGCCACAGTGGAGCTGCTGGTCACCGGCTGGGCGCTGGCAGCCGCCGCGTTCGGCCTCGAGCTGCTGGTGCACAGCTGCCTCGGCAGACGGAGGGGAGAGAAACCACTGCCGCAGTCTGTCCTCAATTAGGACGGCGGGAGAGGCCAGGCAGTGCATAGTAAGAGAAGTAAGAGAATGTAATCCAGAACACCGCGTCCGATTTTGACATCCTTGCAGTCTTACTGGTCCCCATAGAAGTCAGTTTGAATCTCAGTTTGCACGTGCGCACGAGCAAGGGGCCGCTACGACTAGTCAAAAATAGTTTGGCCAGTTGCGCTATATGAAAGCAGCACGGTCACTATAAATAAAAAGCAGTGCACTATCAGGGACCGAATAAATATGTGACCCACACAATCAGTTGCAGGGCTCATTATGGGCGGTCGCACGGTGCAAGGCTCACTATTGCGCCCGCTCGTTCTTCGTTCAAAAAGTGTTTGAAGCACATTGGTAGGGAATGCTAGTTTTAACTTATAGCATTGTCCGCTAATGCAGGTTTGAGAATGAGATGGATCAATGCATAGTTTGGTCAAAACGGTGGCATTACCCTATATGTAGTTACCTACGTGCAATAAACACATATTTGAGCAAGTGGTGTAGTGATCATATGAAGTTGCAGTGGCATTTGAACTTGTTCTATACCAGTGGGATCATGTGCCTCAGTTGTCGGTGTGCCCAGATTTGTCCCTTTCCTCGCCTCATTTCCCACACGTGCCGACAGCTGTGTGCCGACAGCCGTGCCGACAGTCCCTCCTCGCTCTGCTCTGTCTTGTTTTTTTTTCTATCCCGGTGGTCATTCACGACGGCGATCCATCAAACATAACCTGCTAAAGGACACTCAATGGTTTATCGTATAGGTGAAGGCCAGCTGCATATGTGCATATGTACACCTTACCTGGCACTACATTCGATCGTTGGCAGCACATAAGCACATATGCTGGGCCGTTCTGCCGGTCATTTGTTGAATTATAAAGAGGTCATCAGGTCTAGCTGATTGTGCTTTGGACAAATGACGCCAGAAGTGTGTGGTCATTACTCATTACGTCAGACTTCAGAGGATGATTGCAACGGCCATTTGCCAGAGCCTTGCATGTGTCGACAATGCAGTAATCAGCTCGCGCGGAAAACCGGCATATAGCGCGGGCTGGGGGAGAAAACCGTCCTTCTCTGACTTGGTTTCCCAGTAACGTCATGGCTCGCAAATTTCAGCAATTGATAAGAGCATCGATATGTACAAAATATTAATCTTAGAATGTTGATATCGGTGACCTAGGGTCAGGTCAATTTTGTGACCTGTCCATTATAAGTTAATGGGAGACATTTGAAAGGCACCTCTTTTGAACGAACGTCATTCTAAGCACTTTCAAACACCGAAGTACGAACACTGAACATGACAAATGACACCCAATGCTTATGTCCCTATGGTCATCTCAAATTACGAATGGTATCTAACAGTTTTTATAACAACTTCTGATACAGGCATGCCAGAGCGATGAAAAACGCCCTATCTGTGTTCGGCTTGACGATACGGATCGACTGATATGCAACATGACCTTGCCCAGTCAGGTCGTGACCTGGACCTGTGGTCAAATTTTCAAGTTGATCTTTCAAGGTCAAAATATAGTTAATTCGACGCGCCTCGACGAGAGGAGCACAATGCTGGCAAAAGAAATTATCTTGAGTCAAAGGTTATTGAAGGATTTTTTTTAAACGTTTTTTTTTTGTTTTTACCCTCTGGAGGCAAACCGTTAACCTGAGGTCAAATCTGGGAGCACATCCCAGAAGACGGAAAAAAGGGCTATCGCTATCGATTGCGTTTTTCCACGGTGCTTAAGCTCTATTGGTTCCCGAGTTATGAGCGCCGTTGTTTCGAAAAATGTTAAAATAGGTAACGCTTTACTTGTGATGACCTCTGGTGACGTTACCTTTGACCCTAGCTAGAAAATGACTGAAGTGTTTTCGTTCTTATTTTGAACGTCCTCCGAATACCGTTTACCGCGTGTCGCTACGTGTCCCACGAGCTGCTTTAGTGTGTGTGCGTGGGGGGGGGGGGGGTACTCGACCCCCTCCCCACCACCATTACCACAGGGCGTGGAAATCCAGGACCCCAGCGGGGCGCGGGTTCAAGGTTAGCTTGAAAATTTGTCTCAGGTCAAGGTCATTACGACCGGAAAAAGTCATGTCGCATTTCGGTCGACAATTACGGGCGTCTCCTCTCTCTCTCTCTCTCTCTCTCTCTCTCTCTCTCTCTCTCTCTCTCTCTCTCTCTCTCTCTCTCTCTCTCTCTCACTCTCACTCTCTCTCTCTCTCTCTCCCTCTCTCTCTCTCTCTCTCTCCCCCTCTCTCCCTCTCTCTCTCTCTCCCTCTCTCTCTCTCTCTCTCTCTCTCTCTCTCTCTCTCCCTCTCTCTCTCTCTCTCTCGTTCTTTGTAATATCTACCACACCTAAATGTTTTGTTGTGAGTTGACAAACCTGCTGCATTATTGGTTGTCATTGGAAATAACTTCTGAGATCGGTTTGATGTTTGATCGACATTAAGTTATGCAAGAATAAACTACTGAAATTACCAGTCTAGTTTATTTTTTATCTTTTAGTAGGTTACTTGTTTCCTTATAGAATAAACAATAACTGTAGTGCCATTTCGCCTCCCGAAAGCACCTTGCCATGGTGCTTTCGAAATTTAGAAATTTTGTGTATTTGAAAATGTTAAGGTGTTATCAAATACCTGTTGCCAATTGGAACATTGCGCATAAATTTTAAAAAATGGGGGAATAGCAATGACGTCATTGCTATTCCCCCCATTTTTTAAATTTTATGTAAGCTTTCTGTGCAAGAGTTTTCAGCTGTAGACGGTGTATGTATTCTCAAGCAGAAGGAAACACGTCAATCACCATCAATAAAATAAGATCGGACCGAATAAATTTGTAAAAATGCTTCCATTGGATTCTGAGCTCAGATTGTAGGTATATTGATGATGCTTCAATTGCTTATGTTTTTCAGATTAAAGTTCAATTTTCCTTTGTCTAATCGTGACATGACCTTCACCGGCCATTATCACTTCTATTCTCATTTCGAGCATATTTGTATATAACCCGACTAATGTATGATTTTATCACTTAAAATCACATGTTCCTGGTGAGCGGAGACATCGCAGTCTGGTTCGGTCCGGCCTCTCAGCCTGCCTACCACACGAGCCGCGGACATTCGCCTCCCCCCGCGTTACCGGCCCTGAGTGCGCCTCTGCGGCGTCCCGCCTCCGGGCGTGACCCGTCTGACCCGGGCGGTGCCGCCGGCCACGGCCGCCCCCAGTGCCGCCGCATCAGAGCTAGCGAGCGGACGGCCGTCCAGGCGTTCCTTACCGAGACGCCTGGTCTTTTACTTATTGACGGTGTGCGGGAAACATTTTACCGCCCTGTGACTGTGCTGAGGAGTTTTATCAACAACCTGCAACCATGGATCAAGCCGCCAAACAGTTCAGCTTTTACTACATCGACGATCAGTTGATGAAGGCGATGGCCCGTTACCCTCCGCCGCGGCTGTCGCCGCCGGAGCTACCGTCGCCCAGCGGGAGCAGCAGCGAACTCACCGTCAGCACGTCGCCGTCCTCTCAGCGCAGCGGCTCGTCAGGTCAGCGGGCGGGGGGAGGCGGCGGCTCGCCAGGTCAGTGGGTGGGAGGAGGCGGCGGCTCGTCACGTCAGCGGGCGGGGGAGGTGGCGGGGACGACGGTGAAAACAGGGTGCCTGGGGCGATTTGATCTACAGGGTGTAACGAAATTATCCGGACATCAATTTTTTCGCCGTATCCGTTCGCATTGCTTTCTTTCTGACGATAGGAGCGTGGAACTTAGATAAATTCGTACCTATGGTTCCGGTCATCACCACCAGGGTGACCTGACCTTGGGTGGTGACCCATGCCGTCAGTACGGGTCGAGCCACCGCCGGTGTCACTTGGCAGTTTTCGTTCAGAGCAATGACGAGAAAAGAGTACAGCCTCTCCTTTCGCAGCAAAGCTGTGGGGATGGTCCATGGCGGCATGAGCCAGAAGATGGTCTGCCAGCAGCTGGGTATCAGCAGGAGCCAGCTGCACGTCTGGCTGAAGCGTGATAAGCTGGGACTTGGGCTGCAAACCCAGCCCGGCCGTGGCCGCAAGACCGCCCTTCACCCAGTGGCCAAGAGGGTTATCAGGATGGCGACGGAGAAACGTCACCAATCAACTCGAAAACTGGCTCGAAGGCTTACCAAGGCAGGGTACAAGACGTCCCATATGATGATTCACCGCTACCTGCGCAACAACCTGGCCATGCGCCCGTTCAAACTGAAAAGGACGCCAAAACTGACTGAAAAACAACGAGCTCACCGACTGAAGTTCGCTCGAGAGCACCTGCACAGGTCGGAGGAAGAATGGCGGAAGGCGGTCTGGTCGGACGAGTCACCGTTCGAGCTATTTCATCCTCCGAACCGCCAAAACGACCGTGTGTGGGCGGCCAGCAGCTCGGACGTACCGACGGTCCCCAGCGTGAAGCATCCGGCCAAAATCCACGTCTGGGGCATGTTCAGCTACCGTGCGCTGTCCCAGCTGCACGTGGTGCCCCAAAAAACGACCATCAACGGCGAGTACTATCGGAGCAACATCCTGGCCAACGAATGTCTGGAGGCGCTCAACCGGATTGCACAGGAGGGCCCGGTTTCCAAACGCGCGCTGATGCCCGATCCAAGCCAAGCGGTGTTCATGCAGGACGGCGCACCGCCTCACAGCGCCAAAAGGACTCAAGACTGGTGCCGTGAGAACCTCCCATCCTTCTGGGCCAACGGGGTGTGGCCTGGGAATAGCCCTGACCTCAATCCCATTGAGAACTTGTGGGCTATTATCCAGCAGGAGGTGAATCAGAAGCCACCCGCCACCAGCACGGATCACCTGGAGACACAGGTCAAGACGGCGTGGCGCCGGATCAAAAGCAGTGTGCTGGAGAGTCTAGTGGCTGGGATGCCCCAGCGCATGAGTGACTGTGTTAAGATGAACGGTGGCTACATCGGTAAATAAACGAGAAAGCCCCCGACTGTTTTGTTCTCTAATAAGAGCGGGAAGAACGATGCCCGGATAATTTCGTTACACCCTGTAGGTTCGTGAAATTCACACGTGACGTTTAGCATGTAGAAGGTCTACGGAGGGGGGAGAAGTTCCAAATGTCACGTGACTAATATGCCCTCCGGCGCCCTGTTTTCACCGGCGTCCGGTGGCGGCTCGTCAGGTCAGTGGGCGGGGGGGGGGGGAGGCGGCGCGGCGGCTCGTCAGGTCAGCGGGCAGGCGCCGCGGTTGGAGGAAGGGGGAGGTGGCGGCTTGTCAGGTCAGTGGGTGGGTGGCTCGACTGGTCGTCTGGTCAGCGGGCTCAGGCTCAGAACGGCTCGTCAGGTCAGCGGGCAGGCGGGTCAAGGGGTCAGCGGGCTGGGGCGGGGGAGGCGGCGGCTCGTCAGGTCAGCGGGCGGGGGGAGGCGGCGGCTCGTCAGGTCAGCGGGCGGGGGGAGGCGGTGGCTCGTCAGGTCAGCGGGCGGGCGGCTCAACTGCAAAGGGTCAGCGGGCTGCTCTGAGTGCCTCGTCGGGTCAGCAGGCAGGCCAGCGGGCGTCTCTGAGCGGTTAATCAGGTCGCAACGGGTCAGGGTCATGCATTTTTAGGTAGGTGTCAACTTGATTAACCCGAGGGTACTTTAAAATTTTGGCGAGATCCGCAACTTTGTATGATAGTTGCTAGTAATGAGCCGAGGGGCCCATCCGAATTCATCGTATAATTATACACGAGGGTTATCCGACGCCAAACCCATCGGCGTTGGTCGAGAAGGAGAGTGGGTGAAGTCACCATCTCGCTGTTTCGCCCATAAATTACCGTGCGCCATTGAGACTGAGAGGGGGAGGGGCAAAACGGCCCCTCTCCATGTTTCCATCGATATCTCCTAAGGCATTGCAGATACAGTCGCCAAAGTTTCAAGACCCCCGAGTGTCATTTTTACAGATTCCAACAATTTCTTTAAGTGGCGATAAGTTGGCCACAAATAACGTCAGAATAACGTTATGGTCCGACATTTTCGACGCAAAAAAAGCTTTGCGAGAAAAGCTGTCATGGCTACAGTTTTGAAGATACAGAAAATGCACAATACAAGCCCTAATTGTCATTGTTATAGCCTTATGTGTTATAACATTGAGTAAACGGAATTTTCGTCACCTGTTTTTTTTTTTTCGGTGCGGCTATCGAACACCGTTTTGATTTTGAAAATCTGTCGATAACTTTCCGAGATCTGGAAAGGGAGAAGGTGTCTGATGGTAGTGTCCATAATTCGCCCAACGGGGCGCGGGTTAAGCTATATAGAGCCTCGCGGAAAGACGAGCTGTTCAGTTCTTCACCGCCACGAGACTGAGCGACTGACACCAGAGGTCTCTGGTCAACCGGTGACCTTCCGCTCCGCGGGAGACCTGTATGAGAGTGAAGGAATTTGGAACACTAATGTGTCGGATTATTTATATTGGTAACCAAGAAAAGGATCGTAGGAAAATGATCGTAAGATAAAGATCGTATGTTGTAAAAGATCGTAAGCAAAATATCGTAAAGCAATTGATCGACGATCGTATGAAAAATATCGCAGGAAAATAATCGTAGGTAATATAAATATCGTATGTTGTAAAAGATCGTACGATAAAAGATCGTAAGGTTAAAGTAAATAATGAAATACTTTCAAACGTACGCATTGAGAGCTATCGACTGCTTTTACCGCGTCTTTCTAGCCCTCGTTTTTGAGTTAGAGGTGGGTGGTAACATATGCCCCCCCCCTACACACACACACACACACTAGGGCGAAGTTGGCTGAGACCGCCACAGGGCCGCGGGTTAACCCTCGCCCATGTAGGGGGGGTTGGTGCAACCCCCCCTGACGCTTTTCGGAAATAGTGCAAAAACGGCGGCGCGCAGCGCCGCCAAAGTTTGGGTACCTTATGGGGCAAACCTTGCGCATCTTTTGATAAAAAAAAAAATTTGACCGGGTCATGTCAGGTCACGGAGATATGACGTCACAAAGGGAACAGCCTCCGGCCGGATTTTTACAAACTGAGTGCCAACGCCCGAGGTTTCCTGCCGGTGGTACGGACATCGGTTGATGGATCGTGATGAAACTTCCCATGCATGTTGGGGCAAGTATTGGCTATCATATGGTATAAGAAACTTGACCGGGTCAGGTCAGGTCACGGAGCTATGACGTCACAAGAGGAACAGCGTCCGGTACTATTTTTGAAAAGCGCCCGAACCACTATTTTGCTAATTCTTGTCACCTCAATGGGAATATGCAGCAATATTAGCTTCTATAGGGAGCAAATGGACCTCCCAAATCCAAAAATACAATCAGATTTCAAAAATTTAAAGTTTGATTTTTCGAATTTCTGCCGCCGACTGTGACCTTGCCGACTTCCGGCGCTCCCAACGCGCCATTTTTAGAGCTAGGGAAACGAAATACATACCAAACGATAGAGAATTGATCAAGGAACACGATAGTGAAGGTTTCAAGTCGATATCTCCCACCGTTTTGCCGCAATTGCCGCGGAAAGTTGAAAAAAGTATATTTTTCCGAAAATTTGACCTTTGGCCGGTCAAAAGTAGGTCAAATGTTGACCTAGGACCAAAAAATATGCCACCAATCGCGAGATCTTGGCGAGAGCAATCCGTTGGTCTTTTCCGCTAAGCTCTACGACGCTCCGTTTTCAAACGCCAAGGGGGGGTCGCACCAACCCCCCCCCCCCCCTGCATGGGCGAAGGTGGCAGATCGCCGTTTACGGGCGAGGGTTAAAAACTGTAAACATATATGTTGGTAACCTGGCAAGAAATGTTTTTTTCCGTGTTTCACAGAATAATGGCCGCGATGGGCCTGAAAACTCGGTCTGGCTCATTCGAACGACCACGAAGAGAAATATTATTGGAAGAATATCGAATATCGAAGAATATCGAAGAATATTATTAAAACTAAACTGACGCCAGCTGTGAAGGGCTAAAACGATGGGTGGCCGCTTTGCCCCGGGTGGCCGCTTTGCCTCGGGTGGCCACTTTGCCCCACCCTCCCCTACATACATTTTCATTATCGCTTACCCACATGAAGTTCCTTCCGTCTGGAACATGTATTTAACCCTGGCCGGCACGGGGGGGGGGGGGTTGATACAGCCCTCCCTAAGGTTTTTCGCGAATAACTCGCGTAAAAAGCGGCCGATCGCGACGAAACTTTCAGTAGCCTCGCATTGATCAATTTTACACCTACCCTTAAAATTTCATGACCCTGACCCAAATGACCTTTGACCTGTGACCTTTTCCGAGACCATGTTTGGCCGAAATCGCGATTAGGCGTATGTCGGCTCGCATTAGCCGCGCGTTTGCAAGCTTTTCGTGGTTTCAAACGTTCAAACATGTGATTTGATGTTGCTCCCATGCATTAGGGTGGGTGTCAAGGTCACCTGAAGGTCAGGTCAGGACCGTCATTGACCTTTGGTGACCGACCTCGGTTCACTTTTTCGAGTTTTACATGTTTCTAGGCTAGTTTTTGGAGCTGAATTCGAATTTAGCAACCATTTGAATATTTACGAAGTAGTTTTGGTACCTTCGT